TACACACAAAAATTTGACAACTTATGAAATGAACCAATTTCCTAAGAACTATCACAACTTGTTTGGTATGAATTCATAATTTTAAAGCTCCCTCCACTCCCCTAAACCAAGCAGCCCCAAAACTCTATGCACAGATGGTTTTACTGGAGAAATCTATTCAATATTTCAATAATAATTAACCCTAAAATTCTGTATAACCTTTTCAAAAACATAAGGTTTGGAAATCATTGTGTAAAGTTAGTATTATCCTGATTTCAAAATCAGACAAAAAAGTATAAATGAAATCTTCAGACCAATATCCCTCAGAAATCCTTAATATAAAAATCGGTAACCAAAGGAAGGGTTGTTACTGTGTGCTGTGAAGTCTGTTCCAACTCATAGCAACCCTATAGTGTTTCTGAGGAGTGGCTGGTGAATTTCAATCACCGACTTTGCAGTTTAAACCAACCTTGAGTGTGTATCCTATGGTGGTGCCACACCAGAACTCTAACAAAAGGAAATAGAAGTCAGCAATCAACACAGTAAATAGAATTCAGCAATGTATAAGAAGAATTATGTACCATGATCAAATGGAACTAATTTCAGGGTTTAAGGGTGGCTTAGTATACCATAACCAATGTCATCCACTATGTTAATATGTTAAATCACATAGTCATATAAATCAATGAATTTATCATAAAATGACACCCATTTATGATACAAATTCATAGAAAAACAAGTATTAGAAGGGAACTTCTTAAACTTGATAAAGAGCATTTATTCTAAAATCTATAGCTAATATTATACTTAATGGTAAAATGCTGAAGATTTTCCCCCTACGATTAGAAAAGGAGCCTAATGGTACAGTGGGTTAAGCATTGCCTTGCTAACTGCAAGGTCAGTGGTTCAAACCCACCAGCTGCTCCATGGAAGAAAGACACGGCTGTATGCTCCTGTAAAAATTTAGTCTTGGAAACCCTATAGAGCAGTTCTGCTCTGTATTATAGGGCCACTGTGTGTCAAAATTAACTTGATGACAGTGGGTTTTGAAGGTTAGAAACAGGGCAAGAGTGTCAGTTCTCATCGTTCTTATCTAACATAGTACTGAAGGTTGTAGCCTTTGCAACATGTCAAGAAAATCAAAGGCTGAAAGAAAGAAATAAAATTTCTATTAGCAGATAACATGGTTTCTGTATAGAAAATTCTAAGGAATCTATGAAATCTTCGAAAATTAGTAAATTGAGTTCAGCAAGATTGCAGAATACAAGATAAAAATATAGACCAGTTGTATTTATGTATGCTACCAGTGAACTTGTGAGCACCAAAATTTAAAATGTAATAGCATTCACAGTACCCCAAGATTTAAATTGTTGTTGTAGTTTGCTCTGATGTGTTACAGAGTAGAACTGCCACTTGGGGTTCTCTTGGCTGTAATCTTTGCACTAGACCTTTCATTTGTGGAGCCACCAACCTTTAGATTAGCAGCCAAGGGCTTTAACCACTGCCACCAGGGCTCCATGATACATTCACAGCCCAACTGGATTATAGATGAAAGATGATAGTAGCCACACCAAGTGATTAGAACAGATTGTGGGGAAAAGACCAGATACTGAGTTTTGGGTGTGTTGAGCTTGGACTGTCTACTAGACACATCTGTTGTTGTTATGTGCTGTGGAGTCAGTTCTGACTCATAGTGACCCTGTACAGGGTTTCTGAGAATCTTTATGGGAGCAGAAAGCCTCATCTTTCTCCCACAGAATAGCTGGTGGTTTCGAATTGCTGACCTTGCGGTTCACAGCCTGATTCGTAACCACTATGCTATCAGAGCTCCTTAGACACATCTAAGTAGGGGAAAAAAGTAACCTCTTTGAAGTTGCACTGCAGATATGAGGGGACTTCAAAAAGTTTATGAAAAATTCCTCCATCTTTTAATGATATTTTTCTACAAACTTTTTGAAGCCCCCTTATATATGAGTCTTTGCTGTTGTGTAGCTTATACTTTCTGGGTAAGAGTAAGATGAGTAAGAAATGCAATGAATAACTAAGCAAACACAATATGTTAGAAGATGGTAAGTGGCAGAGTGGAGAGGATAAGTGGTATTGGAAGGGTGACTTCCTGAGAAGGTAACATTTGAATAATGATAAGAAGTTCATGAGGGAATAAATCTTATAGATGCATTGGAGAAAAGTAGCTCAGGCAGAGGGGAACCAAGATATAAATGTCCCCATGTCTCCATAACTGGCATCTTTGAAAAAGAGCAGGTTGGCTAAGTGTGACTTTAATGGAATGGATGGAGGGGAGATACCAGGAGACAGTACAGTGGTAACAGGCATTTGAATTGAAGGCCATTTTAGGGACTCTGACTTTTACCCTGCATGAGATGGGGAACTAGTGGATAGCTTAGCAGAAGAGAGACATCATCTGACCTAGAGTTCTAGTCCCTGGCCACTATTCTAAATAGACTGAAAGGGGCAAGAGTAGAGGAGGGAGATTGGTGTGGTACTGTAGAATTAGCACTGGATTGTGCACCACAAGGTTGACAGTTCAAACCTATCAGCTCCCCCTCAGTAACCCTATACTGCAGGGTCACTATGAGTTGGAACCAACTCAATGGCACTTACCAACAACACGTCAAGAGGTGCTGGTGATTTAGTTTATAGTAGTTGCAGTGAGGAGTTCTGTTGTGGTGCTCTAGGATAAACACTGGACTGCTAACCCAGTGGTCAGCATTTCAAACCCACCAGCTGCTCCGTGGGAAACCCCATATAGGGCTGCTATGAGTTGGAACCCACTCGACAGTACTTAACAACAAAAGTAGCAGTGAAGTGGTGGGAGCTTCACTGACAGGACTGGCTTATTGATTGAATGTGGGATGACAGGTTGTTATTATTGTTAAGTGCCATTGAATAGCTTCTCACCCATAGAGACCCTTTTTAGGGATTCTGAGACCAGGAGTCAAGGATTATTCCAAGATTTTTGTTCTGAGCAATTAGAAGGAGAGAGTTTCAGTTAACTGAGATGGGAAAAATTGGAAAGAGCAGGTTTGAAGGCAGGATCAGGAACTCAGTTTTGGAAATACTAAATTTTTGTTTATTGATTATTATAATACATATATTTAAAGCCTTTATTGTAAATTGAGTGATAGTTTACATGGGAGAACAAACACTGGTTTTGCACTCAACCAATTGCATTTTGTTTGATTGTAATGATTACAATCTCCTCCATGTATCATTGGTTAACAGTACTTGCCTTTATTCCCTTTTTTTTTTTTTTTTTTTTTATGTAAACAAAAACACTCGGGATGTTTAAAGAATCAAAAGGCACATTTTGCAAGCCAGCCTCTTGCCTACCAGCACACAGCCTTTCTCTTTCCATGAGTCTAGAGTCCTCAGCTGCTCATCTCTCCATGCCATCACCTCTGCTTCCACCTCTGGTCTTGCTACTTCTTTGGATAGAATCCCACATTCCACTCATGCTCTTCTCTCTTGATGGTCCTAGGGTCCTCTGTTCCTGGAATGTAAGATTAACTACTCCCCCCACCCCCTTTTTGTTATACAACTTCTACCTTTACAGTTGTGACAATCTCAATTAGTCATGATAACCATTACTCACTATTGAATCAAAAGACTCCTAACCCCATCTCCTTACACTAGACAAGACGAAAACTATTCAGTGGGGATTCTACCTTTCCCTGTTCACTCTGAAACTAAACTCCCTCTTGAAAAGTTGTAAGCCAGCCCACTTTGTGCCTTTATTCTCCCCCACCCCCAATTTTAGGTAGCCAATGTCTGAGTTGCCTGTCCCTATTCATCTTGTGTACTGAGGTGATAGGCTTGATTCTTGATGTGAACACTCCTTCCCTCTTGATTGGTATTTTGAGCAACTACATCCATAAGCGTAGTGGTTACGAATCGGGCTGGGAACCTTAAGGCCAACAGTTTGAAACTACCAGGGAGAAAGATGAGGCGTTCTGCTCCCATAAAGATTTACAGCCTCGGAAACCCTGTACAGGGTTGCTATGGGTCGGAACCGACTCGACGGCACTAAACAACAACAACAACAACATCCATAAGTAAAGGTCAAGGTCATCAAACTGAAACAATTTACACTTGCTTCCTGTATCAAACTTCTTTATCTCTTCTAGTTGAGTTATGATCATCAAGTCATCTAAGCCAGGTCACATGGGTACTATCTGCAAGTTTGGATGTTCTTGCGCACCTCCCCCTACTTCATATATCAGCTGGATGCTTCACTCTTAGCTGTAGCCCCCTGTGGCTAGGTCAGTGTCCATGGGCTCAGGAGTTCTCAAGTCTTCCCAAACTCCAGACCAACCAGTCCTTCCTCTTCTCTCTCATCTCAAGGTTGACAAGAGTCTGGAACATGGTAGAACTCAGCCCATATCTTCATTACTGCAGGAAGTGTTAAGTTTTATAGTACCTATTAGATATTAGGCTCTTGGTGTGGTGCTGTAGGATCAGCACTCGACTGTGAACCACAAGGTCAGCAGTTAAAAACCCACCAGCTGCTCCTCAGAAACCCTATACGGGGTCACTATGAGTCAGAAGCAACTTGACATCACTTAACAACAACAACAACATTAGATATCCAAGTGCCAGGTGATCAGTAGTCATTCTAATTACATTAATCAATGTGGTTTATTTTCCAAATTACTAGTATTTAAACAGTGCACCGACTATTCTGGAAATACATTAAATTTTGTTAATATATTAGTTTTTGACATGTTCAGGCCTGGCAAAAGCCAGACATTTTTTGAGAAAGAAACTGACTGCTTTTTGGCTTTGCTTCCAGAGTTGATGGTACTTTTGAATTAAATAAAGATGCCATTTTGATCTTAGGAATGGAAATTTAATTATTTAGTCTGAGTGTTTTTACTTGCTTATCTATTGTAGGTTCTGTTACTGCTGGAGTGTGCAAGATATAGAATCCTGTTTTCTTTGAGGTATGAATTATCCAAACCTTAAATAAGAAAAGAGAAACATTGCAGTTTTTGGATGTCAGAATGCCAAGGAGAAGGAAACATCTTGGGGGAAGTCCATTTCGGAAGACTGCCAATTCCCAGGAAGTTGTTGTGTCCAGTGTTCCTAGTCATGAGGAGCCAACCACTGCTCTTCCTTCCATGTGTGAGATCCAACTTGACCAGGAAGAACTCTTCATCAATATTTCAGAGATATTTCCTGACCTGGATCCTGATGTAGTATATTTGATGCTTTCTGAATGTGATTTCAAAGGTGAGAAAAAGTTGTTTGAACACTTTGCATCTTGTATGAAGACTCTATGTACTGTGCCATGATCACTTCTAATAGAGAACCAAAGAACTGTTTCATTATTTATTTATTTTTCTTCATCATTTAATCAGCTTCTGCTCTGAGAAAAGTACTAAGTTTGGTATTATGGGAAACATGAAGAAGAGCAAAACATAGTTTTATGGTTAAGAAATGAACATTTGTAAAAGTGAGTAGATTGTCAGATTAGACATCCTTGACCTTTACCTACTTGATGCCAGTACCAACACCCCTTCCCTCCTAGTTGTGACAACCAAATTATCTCCAAATATTGCCATATGTCCTTGGAGGGCAAAATGGTCCCCTGTTGAGAACCTCTGTCATAGAACGGAAGCTCCATAAAAGCAAAAACTTTTTTTTTAGAACTTTTTATTGTGAATTGAGTGAAGGACTACAGACAAGATCATCATATTTACATTCAACAAATTGTACACTAGGTTTCATCTCAATGATTGCAATCCCTACCATGCAACAACAGGTATCCTGCTTCCTCCTTGTGTTTCCTATTCCATCCACCTTCCCAACCTTTCTCAACTTCCATGGTTTTCATATATTTCAGGAGTCTATATAAAGACTTTCTATAATATCTAGATATATCTTCATCCTTTCACATATTTGAACTTAAGTACTGTTTTTGATTTTGTGCGTATTTTATGTTTATTTTTTGGTTGAGTTTTTCTTTTGTGATTTTTCTAAAACATATAATAGATTTTCTTACAGAAATGTCTCTTATAGCAGCTTTCTTTTAATGTTTCCGTTTTTAAGACTTTAGGATGGTACAGAACCAGGCAATGTTTTGTTCTGTTGTACATATGGTTGCTCTATCCAGAAAGAACTCAACAGCAGCTAACAACAACAGCAAACCATTTGTGTTATTACTATAGTCTCCTAACTCGTTTTTCTGTTAGGCCTGCCCTCTCGAATCCTCCTTTGCACTTTTTCTTAAGAAATATTAATTGAGTGCTTAATAGGTGTCAGGCCTGTGCACAACACTTTTTCACTGACTATCTTCTTTATTTTTTTCCCACTCAGGCATATATAATAATTTACATCTCCAAAGGGCACATTGTGCAAGTCTGCTCCTCGCCACCAGTTCTTAGTCCTTCTCTTCTTAGTTGATGAATCTAGAGTCCTCAGCCACTCCCCCTCTCCATGCCCCCTCTCCATGCCCCCATCTCTGGCGCTGCTGCTTCTCTGGATAAGGTCCCGCATTCTATTTGTGTGTTCCCCTCTTGATGGTCCTAGGGTCCTCTGTTTCTGGACTGTAAGATTAACCACTCCCCTTTTTTTGTTACAAAACTTCTACCT